TCGGACGCTCAACCGACTGCGCCACCCAGGCGCCCCTCTTAAACTTTCTTAAAGAGCCCAGTGGAATTCCTTTAATGTCACAAGACTTTTAGTGGTGAAGAGCCCTAAATATTAAAGGAACTCTGCAGTCACTGGCAGGCCACCAGAGCAGATATTTTTTAACGTAGAGACCACGGAGAGCCCTCATGATGTCTCTAACTATGAATCCTATAAAATGATATCCACAATTTTGAATGAGGATGTGTGTATGCATGTGTCTGGAAAAGGCTTCACGGTTTTTTCTAGCTTGTAAAAATTTAAGCACCACTGAGTAGAATCAAGAAGACGGATCATCAATAACGCCACTGCTTCCACCTACCACTCCCACCTCCCAGAAATGCAAATCATTTCTTAGGTCTTTACTCTTCTTGCACATTCCAAGGCTGATTATTTACGGTTTGGAATTTTCATGCCATTAATTCTTGGTAAACCTTAATCTCTCTCCTCCTGACCATTTTGGTCATTTTATAAACTTTTGGTCACTTTATAAACTTTTTCAACCCTGGACATATAATAAGGAATGAGGCCTTTAAAAGCTTTGTTTCTTTTAAATGACGCTGGATAAGCATTGCTGGAAATAGAAGTACCAACTGCTTGGGGCGCCTGGGTGGCTCAGTCGGTTGAGTGTCTGACTTCGGCTCAGGTCATGATCTCACAGTCCCTGAGTTCGAGCCCGCGTCGGGCTCTGTGCTGACAGCTCGGAGCCTGGAGCCTGCTTCCGATTCTGTGTCTCCCTCTCTCTCTGCCCCTCCCCCGTTCATGCTCTGTCTCTCTCTGTCCCAAAAATAAGAAAGAAAGAAAGACAGAAAGAAAGACAGAAAGAAAGAAAGAGAGAAAGAGAGAAGTACCAACTGCTATATTGATTCATTGAGATCTGCAGATTTTCAATATTCTCTGTTACCCTGTTTTAATCATAGATTTACGTTGAATTAACATTCTAAAATTACTTTGCATGAGGCAGAATCAGGACTGTCTAGATCAACTGTGATATGTTTTGTAATGTGTTTTGATATGTGTGCTTTTAGCAATACAGCCAGTATTCCCTTGCTGTGAGAGGCTCAGACCGAGACGGTGGGGCAGATGGCATGTCAGCAGAGTGTGAATGCAACATTAAAATCCTTGACGTTAATGATAACATCCCGTACATGGAACAGTCTTCAGTAAGTGTTTGTCCTTGGAATTAGTAACTTTAATTCTAAAATTTGTTCAAATAATTCTATTCATAGGGACACGTGATAGTTTTAGTCACATAAAACCCGAATGTAAACAAACACGTACATTGTCTTGTGTTTGTGTACATAATACCTGGGCAAAATATATGTATTTGGACAACGAAGCATGAGACTATAAACACAGATCTCTTTTCTAAATAATGAATGACCATAAACATTCTCTGAAAATCTGGTATAGTTCTTCTCTCACTTACACAGTTGGTGTTAAATTTTTTTTCCTTCTTCTTTCAGTATTCTGCTAGTATTGAAGAAAATGCTCTACATTCAAATTTGGCCCAGATTAGAGTAATTGACTTGGACGAAGAGTACTCAGCTAACTGGATAGCAGTCATTTTCTTTATCTCTGGAAATGAAGGAGGTTGGTTTGACATAGAAATGAATGAAAGAACAAATGTGGGAATTTTAAAGGTTGTTAAGGTATGGTATAATTACCCTAAATAATTTAGTTTTTTAGTCTTTTTCAAAATGTTAATCTTAAAATGTTAACATCTCACAAAATTGAGTAAAAGAATAAAATACAGTGTTTTAAAATGATATATGACATAGAGCTTTTTTACCATTTTTCCGCTTATATCACTTTATGAAGCCAGGCATTAAACTTGAACTTGACAGTCTCTTCTATTAATACACTATGCCTTCACAGATCATATAAATTAAGAGAATTCTAAAAATGAATCTTATTTTATACTCACAACAAAGTATGAGTAACCCTTAAGGTTCAGTTTCAGACATTTGAAGAATATTTTTAAGCAGATTGAACATGGCCTTATAAAAATGTGTCTGTGTCAATAATGTACATTAATTAATATGCACTAAGAATATTTATCATGTAATTAAAAGTTTAGTTCTCCAGTGTGTTTTTATAAAATTAAAATTAAATTACTGTCATTATAGAATTATCACAGTCCCATCTCCCTGTGGCTGCTGACCAAGGCTTATTATGAACACAAATATACTAGAGATTTGGTCCAAGCAACAAAGATTTGGTCCAAGTCAACAGAATTCTCCTATGTCCCCCCTACATTGATGACCCACCACATGTGGAAATTTAATAGAATTTCCTCTAAGATGTGAGAAAAAGAGAATGTGACTCCTGGGGAGCTGATAGTGAAGGTTTCAGCCTGTGCTAGAAGATGGATTGTATGCATTCTTTATGGCAAAACATAGTCATTTTTAAAACTATTTCCTTCTTTCAGAATAGTCCTGGGAAACAGACTTCTAAGAATTCTGTCCCCATAAGAATGTGCGATCATTTATCTCATGTCTTCATAAAGTGTCACTATGCCTATAGCTTCTATTTCCTGACGCAGGATGCAGATGCTTTAGTTTATTCCTCACAGCATCCCTGCAAATTAGGTTATATGCCCATATTGCAGATAAATACACTAAGGTTCAGAGACAGTATGTAACCTGTTTGAGTTCTAATAGCTAGTAAGTGGTATGGCTGACATTCAAACATAAGTTTCTCTAGCTATAAGTTCATATTGTCTCCTCTGTTCTTTTTTTTTTTTTTTTT